TACACCATAGTGGTACCCGGTAAGTATCAAGCCTAACCTCAGTAGAGTAATGATGAGGCCAGGTCAAAACACCTACCGGACATGTAAACCTGTGCAGTATATGACATAAAGCTAACAAGGAAGGAACATCAATGCAAGGCCAATAGCAGAAAGAATTTAAATTACAATCAACAATGAAGATAAGGGGAACACGAATGACAATGAGAAACAACCAAGTAATTAAGCAATAACATAGTCGGGGTATGGATGAAGTATGAATGTGTTCAAGTGGGGAAAACGATGACGATTCAACCAATCAAATTATTCTTAATACACGAATTTCAACAACCCCACTTTTCGTAATTTCAGATCATAAATCACAACTTTCAAACATTTAACACACATGGCACTTTATGATCACATTTTCTATATCACTTCGCACGACAAAATTCACGTGCTACCAGATACATAGTATCTATGTCAAATGCTATAAATAATATTCGAGGGATCTATTCATATATAATAAAGTAAAATTGCAGTTTCTGAACCAAACAGGAAGTAAATGAGAACTGAGTTGATTTTGAAAAAATTTTGGGTGAAGAGAATAACATTTTCAAATAAAATAAGGCATCAGATAAGCTACTGATTTGAATACAGAATTTAATAAATTAAAACATAATATCATTTCCTTTTTAAATAAAGTAGAAACATCAGATAAGGTAAGGAGATTAAGTTGAAAAATCGATTAAAGTGAAATATGACGACTATTAAAAATAGTAAGGTACCGAATGAAACGACGAGTTTTAACTTAAGAGTCACATAAGGTAAGCATGTTATTAATTATTTTATTTATAATCGTTGTGTTACTAACAACTCAACAAGGTATGAGATAATGACCTAGCGTAGCAAATTCATCTTGAAAATTAATTCACCAAAATACTAGTAATAGGAAGGAAAACAGGAAATGACGGCAAAGCAGTAAACTAATAAAAACAACTCAATCCTCGAAAATCAATAAAACCCAAAAATATTAATCCTCAAAGTCTCGTAACCGAAGCCAATACAATACAACAAGGAATACAAAACACATAAATTGTTGCGGCGCGCAACCCGATTCCACCGTACAACACTATCCTCCCTTATTCCACATCTAAATATCAATAACAATAAATAAATATATGTTGCGGCCCGCAACCCGATCCCACCATATAACACTGTCCTCCCTTATTCCACCATGTAAATATCAATAATAATAATAATAATTAAATATATGTTATGGTACGCAATCCGATCTCACCATATAATCACAGTCAATATCATAATCCTCCCTTATTTCACCGCATCAATCCACCCTTATTTTACATATTGCGGTGTGTAACCCGATCCATAAATAAATCAATAATATCAACAATCCAATACTCAATTTACAAGAATTTCTACAATCATAGGGTATGAGTACACGACAATGAAGGAATCACGTAAAAATCAAGGAACCCAACAAAGATTACAAAAGCAACAGGACAAATGAAGCACGAGACAACTAAGGCGTGCAATTACAATAATTAAAACAAGTAACAGATAAGCACGAAGTCATGGAAGGAACGCAACAATTAAGAGGTCACAAGACAATAAGGAAGGCAACAACTTCAACTAAAACATATAAGTGCAAAATATCGAGTTAGAGGTATAATGAGTGCTAACAACGTCAAATAAAATATATCAGAGTAGATTAACGATGAGAGACATAACACGTCATGACAATTCACTTAAAGGCATGTAAAGAGTCTAAATAACCTAAACCGGTCAACTACCACATATATATACCCACTCATCACGTTGCGTACACGGCTTTCACATAATACAATTAGCACAATCAACTCGAATCCTATGGGGTATTTTCCTCCACACAAAGTTAGGCAAGACACTTACCTCAATTCGGCCAAATCGATACTCAAATTAGCTTTCTCTTTTACAAATTCACCTCCGCTCAGCTCAATCTAGCCAAAGATGACTTAAATACATCAAACAATGCAAGAGAAAATAATTTCAATTAACAAAGTTATGATCTTTATACAATTTCTAAAAAGTCAACAAAAAGTCAACCCTGATCTCGCCCGGTCAAAACCCCGGGTCCAAGGGTAGGTCTTGACTACCCATAGCCCCACGAGTCCATATACGTATTTTGTTTCCAAATTCGAGTCCAATTCGACTCTCAAATCCCAAATTTTTATTTTTCAAAACTCTGACAAACTCCCTAAATGTTTTCCTTAGATTCTCATGAATTGATGTTAAATCTAATGTATAATCATAAAATACAATTAAAAAATTGATTAGAGGCACTTACCTAATGGTTTGGTATGGAAATACTTTCACAAAATCGCCTCCCATCGAGGTTAAGGTTCAAAACATGATAAAATGAAACTAAGTTATGGAATACACAGCTATAAGCAGGCGGCAGATATCGCACTTGCGACACTGGGTTAGCAAATGGGAACTCGCAAAAGCGAAGCTTGAAAAGTTCTGACGCCTTCACAAATGCAACAGAAAATGTCGCAAAATGCAGACACAAGTCTTAGCAAAAGCGACCAGTTTGTCGCAAAAGCGACCCTACCCAGCTCAGGCATTCAATACAAATGTGATACAGAGCTCGTAAATGCGAACTCTATAGACTTCGCAAAAGCGATTATTTTTTCGAAAATGCGATCCCTTCCCTAGCAGCCCAGGTTCGCAAATGCGAAGACTACCTCGCAAATGCGGTAGTTGCATTTACGACAAAAAATCGCAAATGCGATGGAACTAGTACCAGCACTCAATAATTTAACAAAATCAATTCGAAACTCACCCGAGACCCCGAGGCTTCAAACCAAACACCCACACCAGTCCAAAAATATAACACAAACTCGCTCGCACAAACGAAATACCAAAATAACATTTAGACGCATGAATCGGACGCCAAAACGTATGAGAATCACAATGAACTTTAAGAACTTCTAGAATCACAACCAAGCGTTCGAACCATATCAAATCAACTCAAATGACACCGAATTTTGCAGGCAAGTTTCGTATGACGAAACGGACCTATTCCAAGTCCCGAAATCAAAATCCGAACCCGATAGCCTTAAAGTCAAGCCGGAGTCAAACTTAGGAAAATTCTAAACCTTTAAATTTCAAACTTTCGCCAAATGATGTCGAAACCTCTTAGAAATATCCAAATGCAAATCTGGGCATACGCTCAAGTCCAAAATCACCATTCCGACCTACCGAAACCATCGAAACTCCGATTCGAGGTCAAATACTCAAAATTCAAACTTTGGTCAATTCTTTTAACTTCGAGCTTCTCAAACGAGAGTCACTCCTTAAAATCATTTCCGAACCACTCAAAAATCCGAGCCGGTGATGCATGCAAGTCATAATACACTATATAAAGTTACTCATGACCTCAAACTGCTGAAACCGAAAGCAATTGCTCGGAACAACCAGCTGAGTCGTTACATAATTTTAGAACTTTATTTACTGTTACAAAAGTATTTTTTGTCACATTAAAATATATAACTGAATTTTTTCAATTATATTGATAAATTTACAAAACTTTATTCAGTAAAGTAAAAAGTTAATATTTGTTTTACTTACTATAATAATAAAGTTAGTATATTTTACAAAACATAACATTAAAGTCATAAAACTTTTTTTGCTCAATTAAAATAACGTAATTTTATCCACTAGAATAATAACGTCATTACGAAGAGCTTATGAAAACAGTAGGACTTAGTAAATAGGTTGAATTTGTATGATTGTTATTTCCAGAGGTCGACACACAATATAAGTTAGAGGGGTACATCTAAAAATTTCGCCAAAAATTATATGTATACTTGTAAATGTCTTTAAGAAATCGTAAGATATTAGCATAGTTCTCCGAATCTTTATGAATAATAATAAACTTATATTGAATGTCATGTTGGCCTCGACTGTTGAATCCTGGGCCCGCTTCTGATTAATTGTACACTTAATTTAGTGCCAAAAGATAATACTTACGAGACTTTTGATCTCCATCTTTTTTATCTTATTATTGTTGTTATTTTTAGCCGTCAATCTAATAGTCGGTCAAATTGAAACAACCTAATCATATAGGAAAGTACTAGCATACCAACTGCCCAGTTGTAATGATTATGCTGTCAATAAATAGAACTAGCTAGGGTCTTGTTGCATGATCTTGAATAAGGAAACATGAATTTCTTAGATAAGATTGCTAATTTAAGACAATTTCTTATTTATCTATATTGAGTTTTGCCACCCAAATCTTTGATTTAGAAAGTTCACTCACATGTATTACAGCTAATTAATAATGAGTTTATGTTTTGAGCATTAATAATATAAAATTTTATTATTATACTTATGTATTTCTGTATTTTGTCTTAATTGTATTCGTTGCACGAACGAATACATTTAATACATATTGTATTAATTGCGTGAACAAATACAGTTGACACATGATATATTTATTGCGCGAATACAGTGAATACAAACACTTGATAAGAATGATTTGCCACGAATAGTAAATATTAAAATAATAACTACGAATTATAACTAGTTACTAAACTGTATTGCTTTATGAAATTTCCTCTAAATTAAAGTATTACTTCTAATAACTTTCGTTAGTGTAGGAGGGGGCATTTAGATTTTTTTTGTACTTTTTTGGTGGTTCAAATTTGATAAGTAATATAGATGCACCCTATGAGTTAGCCTATATATGGCTATGACCAATCATATTCAATTGCTGAATTGTATGCCATTACTTAGGCAGACTTTGGATTCTTTCACTGTAACAGAAAAAAAACAAGAAGTAACAAAAATGAAAGAAAGACCAAGTAAACCTTACAGAGCGATGGATATATATAAAATTTCCATTTCTGTTTCTGTTATATAGTAGTAAAATATTTTATGGTGGAAACTTCTGTCTTCTTAGTCTAATCACTCAACTAGTGTAGGACAACTGATAAAATTGAAATTTAAGGTGTGTTCTTTGACTTGTGTATCTCTCTTAATAAATATATATTGCTGTCCAATTTCAGTCCTCTAAACCACCCTTTAGACCATATTTCAAAACCTTGAGAGAGAAATAAATAGAGAGAGAGAGAGAAAAAGGAAGAAATTAAAGTAAGATCAAGAATGGGAAGAGCTCCATGTTGTGACAAAGCAAATGTGAAGAAAGGGCCATGGTCACCTGAAGAAGATGCAAAATTAAAGGAATATATTGAGAAATCTGGCACTGGAGGCAATTGGATTGCTCTTCCACAAAAAGCTGGTACATATATTTTATTTAATTGCATTAATTTTTTCAGAAAACAAATATTAAAATCTTGATATGTTGGTCTTTTCTTGATTTTGTTTCTTGGTTTGCTTTTCTTGTATACTTTTTTCAATTGTTGTATTATTGGTTGTGATTAGGGCTAAGAAGATGTGGAAAAAGCTGCAGATTAAGATGGCTAAACTATCTTAGACCAAACATTAAACATGGAGAATTCTCAGATGAAGAAGACAGAGTCATTTGTAGCCTTTATGCTAGCATTGGAAGCAGGTATATATATATACATGTTCTATCTTCTTCTCCTTTATCTATTCACTTACTCAAAACCATCATACCCTTTGACCAATTGCTACTTTTGACCTTCAAATTTTTTTCCACCTAAACCAAGTAGCATTAGAGCCTATGTTGTGTTGATTCAACTGAGTTCCCAGTTTTCAGCACGGAACATAAATATACACTGTTTTTTCACAATTACGAAATTCTGAACACCGCGATACTAAGTTGGCTGGGACAGATGCACAGTTGTTGTTACATATAATTCCAAAAGTTTATTATATGTATTCAGTATTAAGAACCTTAATTGTTGAATAAGTCAAGTTTATATCAGAGATCTATAAAACTCCCTTATCAACAACAACAACTACATACGCACTGAAATTCTGCAAGTGAGATCTGTGGAGGGTAGTGTATACGCAAACCAGACCGTATCCCGGCCTTTTTGAGATAGAGAAGCTGTTTATGATAGACTCCCGGCTAAAGAAAAACATAATCCCGCAAAGATTAAAAGGAAAAATATGCTTATGGCCTTGCATGCATGAGTACTTTCAAGAATTGAAGTGTAGTTATAAGCCTTTTATGTTTATGGTAATGGAAAATTAACTACATCCCAAATTTAAAAACAAGTGCAGGTGGTCAATAATAGCAGGCCAGTTACCAGGCAGGACAGACAATGATATCAAGAATTACTGGAACACAAAGCTCAAAAAGAAACTCATGGGATTTGCCTCTTCATCTCAGAAAATCAGGCCATTTCATCATCATCAGCAGCACCAAATAACCACTGGTTATAGTAATTATTACCCACAAATTTTACCATATTCTTCTCCTTCAACAACATTAACAACAATAGCAGCTTATAAATATAGCAACAACACTTTTCCATGCTATGAAACTATTCCTACAATTCCATCAACTAGTTTCTTGAACACTGCTGCAGCTGCTAGTTGTACTTCAGGCATTACAGCTAGTACTTCCCCTCTACTCCAAATTCAAGAAAGTAATTATGTGGGTCCCACTACTACAACTTCTTCAGATGGGAGTGCAGAGTATGAAAATTTGGATTTTCATAGCTATATTTATAATGGGGTTATTGGTAATGAAGATCAGAGTAATTCCAAGTTCTTGATTGAAGGCGGAGGAAAGCCAATGAATGGAAATGGTTGTTATGTTGAACAACAAAATCCATTAGATTATAGTAGTTTGGAGGAGATTAAGCAGCTAATTAGCAGTAATAATAATGTTACATGTAATAGTAACTTGTTTATTGATGAAAACAAGATAGAAGAAAAAGTCATGATGTACTATTGATGATGATATTGAATATTGATGCTGACCTTTTTGAGTACAAATCAGAAGATTTTGCAGTTTGGGAAAGGTGTTTCTTTTTTTTTGGAGGGTGAGGGAGGTGGGTGGGGGGTACTTGCAGATTTACAAGTGCGGACTTGGCTCTTGGGTATGAGACTTCCGACTTTGTGAAATTTGACGAAATTTTCTTTCATGTAATTGAGTAGTTCTTTGTAACTATTCTGATTTTGCTGTGATTGAGAGAGCGTTTAACTTATCTGCCTTTACAAAATAAGAATAAGATTGATGTATATATTATCCCTCCTAAACTTATATTATTTCTTTTACGATTTCTTTTGTGCATCCCCTTCTTCTTTGGACAATGATATGTTCGAATCAAAAGGTTCGCATATCGAATATCTCATCGGGTATATGTAAGATAAGTACCGAATAATTTCGAATATCAAGACTTAAAGATATACAAAATTACCTAATATATTTTTTGTCTTTATTAAAATTTAAATCACATTTTTTTCGTGATTTTCATTCATTTTATAAACCTGTCTGTGTGTTAATACTGCTGTCTTAATTGCAACTATTCAAGTATAAGTGTCTTATTAGTCTCTTAGAAACTTGAGAAGCCGTCATATTTCAAGATTCAAACTTCAACACTGAAACATGCACAGTTTAGTTTATCTCATTTGCATATATAACTTGTTGAGTTGTCATGTTGTGAATACTCTCCTCTCCTTTCTCTTTTTTTAATAAAGAAAAATTATAACTGGTCAAGTATTTGACCTTAGATTTTTATGGCCTAACTATTTTTTTAATTGGCTTGATGTTAATCTTCATATTCTAGGTTTCTAACCATCGCTTCTTCAATGATTGAATGGCTCGTAAATTGAAAATAAAAATCTAAGCAATAAATGCAAATAATTTGTTTCTTTGCAGAGGATTTAACAAAAAATTAACAAAAGAAAAGGAGTGATTCACACCACGAGTTTCTTGCTAGAAATTAAATTAGTTAGACATCACTGATTAAGACGTCTGATTAGAAAATAATCACAATTTTTTAACATCGATCATTTTTAAAAGGTAATTAAATAATTAATATCTCAAACAATTATATTATATGGTTAATAGGCTCAATTCTATAACCATGTTAGCCATGTTCCCATCACTGATAACCTTATGATTAGGACTAATTTAGGCTTGATTAATTAGTAAATGGTTAATAATTTATTTGTTATTAGAGAAATATGTCACTCGAGGATAAAAAGGCCGAACCAAAATTTAAAATTTATAAGTTCAGAATTTTTGCTTGTTAAGTTATTAGGTTACAAATTAATAATATTAAATAATTTTTTTTATGATTAAAACAAAATTACTGAATTATATTCGGCGGACCCTAGCTCCCCCGGGCTTGTGGGGAACAAAAGACATATTTATAAAAGGTGGGAAATCAAGTCTTTTTGCAGCAAAATGTAAAGAGAATCCTCATAGGGAAACAGTCCAAAAAAATCCAAAAAATTGTGATCTCAGTATTGTGATGCCTTTGCTGTAAAAGTTAGGACAAGTTGAATAATTTAGGGACTCCACAGGAGGGAAATTAATTAAATAAAATAAAACAGTAGGGAGATCTTGATTCTTGAAAGGTGAATGCATTGACTTCTTCACCCATTTTTGTTTTCTTGTGTACATGATAATTTAAAATGAGACTAATTTATTGGGATTTTGCCAGCTATGAGAAAAGTTAATTGTTACTTAATTAAAGAAAGATTGCCATAAATCTTATGGAAAATTGTTCTGTAGGAATGTCTTATACTCTTATTTAGTGGAGTTAAAAAATTTGTCGATTTAGTAGGAAGATTAACTTACTGTAAGGGGCAATGCTGTTCTATTATTATTATTATCAATTATAATCCACCAGCAAAGGTGGATTTACACTGTAATCTACGAGTTTAGGGTAATTCAGTTGTTTTTGTTCTCTCTCTCTCTCACACACATATATATATATATTATAAAAGATTTATTAAATATCTATAAATATTTGACTATGCATCCATTTGTAATCATATATTAACTTGAGTTCAATGTAGAAAGTCATAAACTTCAAATTTTGGATCCACGGTCCACCTATGTCCACCCAAACATAATATAACGAAGAAAACAAAAAGGCCACATGGTGAGTAATTTAGATGGTATTAAAATTTATTTTTCAATTAGAAATAGTTGCTGTCATATGACCAGGATGTCATGAGTTCGAGCCGTGAAAACAACCTCTTACAGAAATGGAGGGTAAGACTTTATGATAGACCCTTGTGGTTCAGCCCTTTCCGGAGTCCCAGACCCCATGCATAACGGGAGCTTAGTGCATCGGGCGATCATTTTTTCCAATTAGAAATTGCAAGAAAGACATGTCTTTTATGTTGTTTTATTCTTTTCTACGAATCATCTGGTTTTGATAACTGTATAATCTGAAAACTAACATGTCTCATGTACTCTATTATGCTTATTATTAAACGAGTTCGAGTGTTAAGAAGTCGGAATGAGATTTTGGGAGTGAGCTCTGAGGTCGGTACTAACGAACCTCGAGCCCGAAGGTCGCTCGAGGAGGCGGCTCGATAATCTTATCGAGCCCGTGACTGAATCGATCCGCAAGGCACTGCTTCGAGGTCGGAAATGTGCGACGCCCATCTCGAAGGTCGAACTTGATCCAAGACCGAAGGGCCCGACCCAGTAACGACTTCGAGCTAGTATCGAGCTCACAGACAAGAGCCGTTGCAACCACCAAGAAAGAAAATCTCGGCGGGAATCAAGGAAGAGACAAGTCATCATGGGTCTTCCACTACATGTTTTATTTTATTGTTTTTGGTAATGATCCACTTCTATAAAAGGGGAAATCCTTGTAAGCTAGAGGGGCGGAACATAAAAAGATCACTTCTTATATTGATAGTAATCCCCTTGTGCTTGTTTTACTAATTCATTCTTTTTGCTTATTATTTTCGTTCTTAGAGTCAACAATACACATATTTCCATTTCTCTACGCGATTTATATCAAATTGTATCGCATATCCTTAGAACCATCCACAAATCTAACGTTATCCGATTTTTTCGGTAAGCAGTTTGGCGCCCACCGTGGGGCTAAGGGTAACAGTGATCGTTTGATATAAACCTAAAGTACACGCCAGTTTGCAACTAGAAATCAGCAATGGCTTCACCTATCGACCACAAAGCTGGCCTTCAAGATGAAACCAACAACTTGGCACCCGGGGCCGGAAGGCCACTCGATGAAGGCGCTGAGGCTCGAATCGAAGCAACCGAAATTCGAGCCGAAGTATCATTGGATGTCAATTCACAAATAGCTCTAGAGGCGAATCAACGTTCCGAACCGGAAAGGAGCATTCGGGGTGATACTCGATCCGTAGCTCGAGACACCCATAATGTGGAGGATATCGAAGTCAGCTTATGCATGATCTTCGAGATGTTACAAGCCCAGCAAATAGTGATAGCTCAGTTGCAGAGTCAAACTCAGGTACAAAGCAGGCAGGAGCCCAATCCGCTTCGAGAAGTCACCCATAGAACGGAACCAGCCATAGAGAAGCCAAATGAGCAAGAATCGGGGACTACTCCCGAAATTACTAAATTTCTTGAGGAACTCACAAAACGAGTCGAAGCCAACGATAAAAAAGTAGAAACATATAATTACAGGGTCGACCAGATCCCGGGGGCTCCACCAATGATAAAAGGGCTAGATTCGAAAAAAATCATTCAAAAGCCTTTTCCCTCGAGTGCATCCCCAAAATCAATCCCCAAAAAATTCCGTATGTCCAAAATACCCAAATATAACGGAACGACCGACCCCAACGAGCACATCACTTCTTACACGTGTGCCATCAAGGACAATGATTTGGAAGATGATGAGATCGAATCTGTATTATTAAAAAAATTCGGTGAAACCCTGTCAAAAGGGGCAATGATATGGTATCATAATTTACCATCTAACTCCATTGATTCTTTTGCTATGCTTGCAGATTGCTTCGTAAAAGCTCATGCCGGAGCCATAAAGGTCGAAACCAGAAAGTCGGACCTGTTCAAGGTAATGCAAAAGGATAACGAGATGCTAAGGGAGTTCGTAGCTCGTTTTCAAATGGAACGAATAGATCTGCCACCAGTCACAGACGATTGGGTTGTTCAAGCTTTCACTCAAGGTCTAAATGAGCGGAGCTCGAGGGCTTCGCGGCGGCTGAAGCAAAATCTGATCGAGTACCCAGCTATTATTTGGACCGATGTGCACAATCAATATCAATCAAAAATAAGAGTCGAAGATGATCAGTTGACTTCTAGGACCATTACGAAAAAGCAAAAATCGACCAGAGATCGATAACAGCCATATAGCGGAAATGATACTACTGCTGAGTATCCGAGGCCTCTTTAAAATCAACCTCGTACACATGGGGGGCTTTATTATTGAACGCATCTGTGATGATTATCAAGTTCAGTGCAAAGGAAGTTACTTCGTTATTTCATGACAAATAGTGTCTCAACGGGAAACGTTGAAAGGGCCAAACGGTCAAAACGAAACATGTTTATATAGTTGGCCCGAGCCGTGATGCAAAACATGAACCCATGTATAATGACCTGTAAAGAAAGCTCTCCTCCTTACCGATATTCTATGTTCAAGATTTATTATGCAAACATGATCGAGTTCGAATCATTCACTCGATTGCCAAGCCTACGGGCTACCTTTATTTCGAGTTCGAGCAATCACTCACTCGACCATTAAGCCTATGGGCTACTTTAACTATTACGCCTACGGGCTTCATTGCATCGAGTTCGAATCATTCACTCGATTGATAAGCCTACGGTCTACCTTTATTTCAAGTTCGAGCAATCACTCACTCGACCATTAAGCGTACGGGCTACTTTGACTATTACGCCTACGGGCTACATTGCATCGAGTTCGAATCATTCAATCGATTGACAAGCCTATGAGCTACCTTTATTTCGAGTACGAGAAACCACTCACTCGACCATTAAGCCTACGGGCTACTTTGACTATTACGCCTACGGGCTACATTG